TGTATCAAAACTCATAGTCCTCTCACAGAGTTGTTGCCTGATTAGACCTTTTCTTGGGACTGTGTACTACATTCTTCATTGACGTCTGCTTCACTCTTCTGTCATCGTTGCACGTGTCGGGTGGGATGATATGAACCTTTAAGCATCGTCATTGATCCATAGATTTCTGTGGCATCACATAGTCTGAAAACACTGTGTGGCCATAAAAGTTCACTTAGGGTCAAATCTAGATTTGGGGACAAAAAAGTGCAAAAAGAGAAAAGGCCTATATAAGAATAATGTGTATTATAAACCCAATTCCACTGCAAACACATTTGCATGTTCCTTAGTGAGGCAAAGAGTAATAATTGTAAGGATAATAATGTAAATATGTGGCTTTCTGGATTAGAAAAAAATAGGATTTAAACAGAAATACTTCAACAGGCCTTGATTTTAGGTCTCGTTCATCGTGTAGACAAAATCTGAACAAAATCTGTGATGAGAGCTGAAACAACCTTGTCTGATTTTGGCACAGTCATTACATCTCATTAAATGTTATATCGTGGATTCCTGGGTTCAGTTAACAATGATTACAATGATACTGAGTCATCTGGGCCGTGTTTCAATTGGTGCATCCTTTGAGAGATATTGTATATTATTTAATCATTGTGGCTTAGTCATTGTTCTGATGTCTGATGAGCAGCACACAAATAAAAGTTGGCTTTCTATGTCCAGTGAGTGGTTGTTTCTGCAGGGTAAACTGTAAACTGCAAACAGAGGAGGATCTATTTGTGTAAGCCTACGTAGGCAATTGTTATTGTCATGGTTACAGAAGAAGGAGCTTAAGCCAATGGCTGTATACCTAAAAGTCACTGGCAACAACATGGCATTGTTTAATCTGTTGTTGGCTTTCTACGTATGTTTTTCATATTCCACCTATGATCACAGTAACATAATTACAGCAAGCGGGAGAATTATCTCCAGAGAAAACACACAAAAGGATCCCTCACTTAAAGTGTCTCCAGAGGCTATAGAGGTTATAATAGAGGTAACTGTTTATATGTGTTCTTATGTCAATATCTGTGAGCCCTGAGATGGGTTTGAGTAATGATTGTTTTTATAAATGTCTGTTTTTAGTCAGTGCCTGTTGCAACAGGTCCTTGAGGCCTTGAAATATTTGCTGTTTGTGTAATTTTAATAACTTGCCAATGACAATAAAAGGGTTTCAGGAAACAGTCTTAGATAAGGTTTGACAGTGTGCCTCTATAAAACACATGTTAAAGCCTGTTCAGGGTTTGTAAAGGTGATTTCCAGGAGCCGTAACAATTCCTCTGTCAAATTGCATTCAAGCATGTGTCGACATATCACCTTTATTTTCACATTAAAATGTGCAAATCAAATAGTCAAAAGAATGTCATAGAACAATGGCATTGCCTTTAACATGTGCTTTTTGTTTTCCATAATTCATTTTTGCCATTGATTTCTGCATGTGTCTGCATCTGCTCTGTGCTCTGATCCGATCATTGTGTTTCAATATGTCCCTGCTTGGTTTTATATGTAATTCCATTGCTGCCCGTATTGACCAGGACTCTATGGCACATGCAGGAGATATTGTATCTCAATGTAACCTACAAAGGAAAAATAAATGAAACTTAAATAAACCAGGTGGAAGTTGTTTGGTGGCACTCCTATAAATAAAATATGTGCTGTGATCACTTTGACGTCTTTGACGCCATTGCCTCCCTTCAACATGAAAACATTATACAGTGTGGTGGTTTGTGCGGGCTCTTTTCAACCTTCTCAATCAAACATTTGTCTGCCCAGATTATTCACTGTGTCCTCCCATATACTGTGCTCATATGTTCCACAGATGTGAGCAGTGACTCGCTGTTGTGATCAAAAAAGAGTCCGGAACTGTCATCGAGTGATTCAGTAGAGAGAGAGAGACCAATGTATTTCTGCATATGACTTAATCTGATGCACACCTGTCTGCAGGCTTGTTAAGAGTTCATTATCTACTTTGCAGTTTCCAGAAAAATATTAATAATCCTTTCAGATTCATGTAGGAAAGTAATTTAACTTTTTATGAATGATCTATGTGGAAGTATCGTTCTTCAAAATTCAACTTTACAAATGTTCTGTCTCATCTAGAAAGGGAATAATATACAATTTCACTGAATCAACAAAAGCTCCAGTAACTTAAAGACAGTGAATGAAGATACATGTTGCACGAAATATTTTTTTTATAATATTTTTATTGTTACACATATCTATATTATTTTATCATATTGTGCCTGTTTTCCCGTTGCTTCTGTTGTTTCGGCTGCTGTTCTGTATCTAATAATTAAAGACAAAAAATATATCCAATTCCTCATCATCTCTTTTTTCTGACTTTTCTGGCTTTTTATTCATGATTGTGAGCTTTTTTTTATTAATCACAGTTGCCACTAGTCTGTTATTAAACCCATGAACAAGTTGTCATGAAATGTATTGTGATGTATCGACGTGAAAATAGTGGTTTACTGAGTGGTGCTTTGTTTAGTCTGGGTCCTCAGAATGAGCTCTGGGGTTGGATTAAAAAAAGCATTACACTGTGAGTATTCTTTTCCTGCAGGATTCCTGTGGGTTGTAGCTTTGGCAAAATGTGTTGCAACAGCTCCCTCTGTTTATTTTACTCTATTTAATAAAGCAGCCATCCAGCATGTCTCTTCACACCAGAGCACGCCTGCTCGCTGCCTGCTCGGAGCAGCAGGAATTCTTTCCTGATCTCTGGCTGAACTCAAGTTGAATGGATTTGGTGCAGATAGACGCTCAGATGTTCAAAGTGTATGAACAATGTGTGATCCACACGGTCGTGGCTTCTATGTATCATCGGAGGATTCTGCTTCTGTAGTGGGGATCTGTTGAACCACATTTTCCATTCTCAGCACAATAATTCTTTATGTTTGATTCTATAGTGTGTAACAGAATAAGAGAAAGGTGGAAAAGTCTTTTATCCACTGTATACTTGCATGTCCTGAAACAAATCAAAATATCACATGTTCCCCCCGACTTTACAATTACACCCAGAGTTACTCATCCAAACAAGCAACTGCCATGTCTGCTAGATGCCAGAGCAGAATATTTGAGACCAGATGAAATTCCACAGGAGAAAAGTGATCACAGAAACTACATTGCTCACCCTAGAACACAATGGCTCTGCTTCGGGAATCTGTCCCTCATAGATTAAACTAGTCTACCAAAAAATTCCAGGTCTCACTTTTACTTTGTGGGAGGATTATGTATTTTCTCATATCTCGAAATATCAGTGTCAGTGAAAAGAAATGTTAAGGTGCTTGACTCTGAGGTTATGGTGGGGTCATTGTATAGCTATAGGTTCCAGATGATGTAGAAAAAAGGGTCTGAATCATGTCTGCAGTCTGTGTGGTCATAGCAGATAACACGTCTGTTAAAACTTTCCTCTTGCACACCATTAACAACAGCAAGAAGTTGTTTCCACAGAGATTTGATGGTATGCGATACTAAAGCCACCCCCTGAAGTCTTGCTGGCCCCTCAGGGTGCACTCTGCACCCTGGCCCCAGCTCTCTCTCTCATTCTCCTTTAATTGCTCAACACCACTCTTTCATCTCCTTTGACTTGATCCAAAGCAAATAACATTACGCTGCATATTATGATTAAAGAATGTGCTTGTTCGGGTCCACCCATACAACTCCTGCTTAGACCACGAATATTAAAAAGCGCCTGTTTCAGATCAAAAATTAGAGTTTTGACTTGAGATGATTAGGAGTCATGCGCTGAATATATAAATGTATATGACTTTGTTTCATTTTGTACGAATATCTTCCAATGTGAAACAGTATAGACCTACAGTGAACCAAGTTTCTAAGTCTCTTAGATAGAAATAATATAATAGGTTTAGTAGAGGGCACATTAATATCTTGTTATGGTACTTTTGTGTCCTAGAAAAAAACTTAAGAAAAGAGCAACACTATTTACATTGAGAAATGCTGTGTATCCTACTCTATTTTGTCAGGCCACGATGGTAGAGCATGTTTTCCTGAAAGAGGCAAATGGCTGAACATTTATAACTGCATAGCAATTACTTTTAACACACAATGGCTGCTTAGTTCTCAGTGTCTTAAACAGTACTGAGTCATTTATGGCAATAGGTGCCCTGCAGAAATCTTACCAAAACCTGGGTCAATGAAAACAAGATAAGATGATAAGATAAGATAATCCTTTATTAGTCCAACAATGAAACATTTCCAGTATTACAGCAGCTGCAGTCAAAATAGGGATCAGTAAGTAATAAGTAACATACAATGCTTAAGTGGAAGGAATATAGAAAATATAGAAAAATATGGATGGAATCAATATATATGTGTAAAAAAACAGGAAAAATTGTGACCCTTTCTTTTTTATTTTCTTAGACTTTTCTTTCCTTTCAAAGAGTGTGACAAACACGAGGGCCACACGAGAATTCAGTAAATAATAATAATAATAATAATAATAATAATAATAATAATAATAATAATAATAATAACAATCATCATCATCATCATCATCATCATAATAATAATTACAATCATCATCATGATCATCATAATAATAAAAACAAATTGTAGAAATGACGTCAAGTTTGAGAGTATACATTTTCTCTCCAGTGTTCTTGTGTGTATGCACAGAAGCAAAAACTAAATTAAAAGTGCATTTTATTTTGCTCTAGGTTTTATTTTGGGCCGCCTCACCCACGTGTACCCGTGTTTGCACTGAGCGCACTTCCTTAGCAACGTGTATCTGAACCAGGAAGTAGTTTGGGTTTGCTGCAGCTAGCAGCTCCGGACAGCGCAGAGCTGTGAGAGTGTGTGACAGCAAAGTTTGTCACGGGGACATTTGTGAGTCCGGAGGCCTCGTGTGTGAATCACACACATGTGAGGGGACGTCGGGTTCAGCAGGAAACTCTGTCGCTGAGAGGAGACGAGGGAAAACTGTAAGAGGAGCTCGTTTTGATGGTTAGCGAGCTATTAGCTAACAAGCTAACGACTGCTAGCTGGAGTCGAAGATAACTTAGTCCTCTTTATTGTGCTGCCATGATTTATCCATCAAACCTAATGTAAATGAAATGACGCCTGGTGAATAAACTCTGAATCAACACGGGTTACATTACATTATAAGGGATTGTTCGGATGAGTGAGATCTTAATGTTGGGGACAAGCTGTGAATTGTTGAGTTGTGCATCAGGACTATAGATTTATGACAGAAGCTACAAGTTAGGCTTAGATGTATAGTGTCTGTACTTGAGCAAACGTAATGTTGTTTGCAAGTTAACTCTGGCAGGTATCACTGTGGGTTCTGCTTTTCATTTCACCCTCCACTGCAGAGCACTTGAAGTGCTGAGATCATTTTAGGTGATCTGCACAAACAGCATGTTGAAGGTCTACCCACACATTTCTAATGAGGGTCAGGTTCAGCTGTGTTCCAAAAGCTTCAGTTTCAATTTGTTCAACTAGTTCATAGAGGATTTTTAGGTGTTTTGGATTAGATCAGATTTATTCAGCAAGGAACACCATAAATAAAATACATAGTAACATGAAAAATACAGTGCAGGGGGAAGCAGAAAACATAGAGGGGGGTGTAGTTTGAAGCCTCTACATACATTTTGTTAAAATTATACAAAGTTCACATGCAGAAGATAACATGACTACCATTGAGAGTCAGCAAATTAACAATAACATGTATAGCCCAATAAAAAAAACAGCCAATACAGAAGCAAAATGTGTGCCTGATTGTGTGTTCATAAAGTTTGCTCTGGGTCACTGCTGTAGGAGACAGTCTCACGTCTGAATCAACAAGAAGTGGAATCCACTCTGTGGACGTTTAAATCATCACGTCCCATATAATCGCTGAGAGTTGTTGTCTCTGTCCTCTCTTCTGTCACAGGTGTGCCATGGAAATGCCACTCACACCACTGTCTGATAGGCCATGATAGGCTTGTCGAGTTATGCAGGGGTTATGGAAAGTCTAATGAATTGTGCTGAAGAGCAGCAACCCTCCTCTCCCCTGGCCAACTCATTGTCCAAGAAGCAGGAATCAAGCGAGCTTCAGACGCCAAAAGGTGTTGGTGGATTTGTTTTAGTGCATGCAGGTAAGTGTGCACACAGGTCACCAGTAGCAACAGCCCAACAAGCCCTTAAACTGCACCAAATATCACACTCTCACATATATCAGTTCCAAAAATGTGACTTTTTACCATTAATTATTCTCTGGGTAAACAGTGAAGATGTTGGGAAAAGGCCTTGTCTCACAATGTTAATGATAAAGAAAGGGAAAAAACAAATCCTGCCCCTTGATCTGGATCTTGAATGGTTTCTTCCCTGATTTCTACTTCATCCTTCAACCAAGTTTCATAAAAGTCTGTTCAGATGTCGTTGTGTAATCTTGCTTAGGAACAAACCATGAAAAACAGACAGAAAGCGTTGAAAACAGAACCTCCTTGATGGGAGGAATTAAGAGAAATTTTAGGCATCATTTGTTAATAGGATCAGATTGTCAGTAGTCCATCTATGATGCAATGAAACATTACATCACCTGATATATATGTTTCCTTTATCTCTTTAATGAATTGTCACTTTTTTCCTCACATTTGATTTCAGGAGCAGGATACCACTCTGAATCCAAAGCCAAGGAGTACAAGCATGTGTGCAAAAGAGCATGCCAGAGAGTAAGCTCGATTTGTAATTTGTGTCTGTCTACAAGCATTGTGGTCGTGCCCACAATGTGTCTCACTCTGTCTCACTTGTAATTAGAATTATTGATTCAGTGTTGAGTCACATATTAAAGTAGCATTTCAGAGCTTTCCTTAAATGGAATATTGTTGTTTTACCATTATATTGAAATGTAAATGAGTTTAAAATATTCAAGATGTGCTAGTAATTACATCTCAGTTTTAAATAATTCTGCTGAGACTCATGTATCAAACAGAAATAAGAGGCTTTTCCTTTATGAGATATATACAGTATGGAATACAAATGTATTAATGTTGTAGTTTTGATATCAAAGATATTGATTTTGGATCTCCTGTGAAGATTTTGATTTTTTGGAGTTTTTGTTCTTTGGACATGTTCTTCTCTAGAATTCTTTCCAGATCCTTACCACCCTTACAACAACAAAACAACCCCATGCTATTATCATCAGCTTCACTTAACAATAGTTTTTATTTACCAGTTAACTTTTAACTACCATTTTGAATTTAGTTCCATTTTTTTTACATTAGTTAGTGGCGGAATGTATAGATATTCCAGTATCTGCACTGTAGTGTGATTATGTTATGGGTACGCTGAGTGTAGTTGGTGTTTTGACTGGAAAGCTGTTGTGTCTCTGTCCCTTACAGGCTGTGGACCAGCTCAAAGCCGGGGCACTTGCAGTGGAAGCCGTGGCTGCAGCGCTGGTTGAACTTGAGGTGAGCTGATTGTGATCCAGGTTTAATTTATATCAAAATAATTAATTGATTTACAATACATGTCCATAATGTTAAAGAATTATTTTAGGCCTAGATTAGACTCCATTCACTACATAAAAAGAATCAATGTCTTTTCTTCAGCACAATTAATGACAACAGTTTTAATTTGAGAATATGTGTATTTTTATATAAGGATTCTCCTTTTACAAACGCGGGCATGGGCTCCAACCTGAACTTGTCGGGGGAAATTGAATGTGATGCAAGTATCATGGATGGGAAGTCGCTACATTATGGAGCTGTAGGTGCTATTAGTGGTGAGTGACAACATATGTGTTGATGTTTAGACATGCTATTAATATGTACACAAAACACTCATATGATTTATATTTGAATAAAAAACAAAGGGACACAATTTGGTGTTTTGATGACTCCTATATAATAATATGTTTATTATATATATATATATATATATATATATATGTATTTCTGTCTTTGTAATGTAATCACGAGTTGGATATCTTGATTTGTTAACCTGCATCCCAGTGGAATCAAGTACAAGCTCTATGATACTTCTGTCTTTTCCTTCAGGTATTAAAAACCCAGTCTTAGTTGCAAACCGTCTCCTGACTGAAGCACAGAAAGGGAAACTATCAGCTGGCAGAATACCACCCTGGTGAATATCATGGTTATTAATTAATGTCGTATTAAAGCGACTATATCGGCTTGTTAATTTTTTCTTCCTGTCAGCTTTTTAGTGGGGCGAGGCGCACACGACTGGGCAGTCAGCCACGGAATACCACCATGCCCCTCAGAGAAAATGGCCACCAGTGAGTATTGTTGCACTAGTTCACAAATGCTCTTCATCTAAAAACAGTGCATTAACTCTAGCTGTGAAACTGAAGCAGAAATCTGTGCTTAAAATAAACATCAACTTCACACAGAGTTCAGTTTGTCTGCGTACAAGAGGAACAAGCGGAAGATGGAGCTGGCAGAGAAAATGGACACAGGACAGAATCAGACAAAGAAACGACGACAATCAAGTGGAAATGCGAGTGCTGTGGTGAGTAAGAAAAAGTATTTTGAACTCAAGTGCATGGCATCAGTCAGAGCGGACCCACCTCCTGCTGCTGATTTTACAGTCATATTACTCACTGTGAACATCGGGCTTTGTCTTTATTGTACATGAGTGGTAACAGATTGAGATCGGACCATGTGACCAGAGGCTTTAGCAGGCCAGAACTTCATGTGAACATTAAAAACTTTTCAGAAGAGTGATGATTATTAAACAATAAAAGTCCATGTAAATCACAACATAAGTAGTAGGACCACTCCATCTCATAATAAATACCTTCTCATGGAGAGCAAAGCACAACTTGTAGTTGATAGTTGTGTTGAATCAAAACAACATAAGATCTAGTTTGATGACGTTGTGAAGCAGTGTGGGATCGTAGGAGTTGACGTCTTCACCACCATTACTGATGAAAATCTGCAACTCACAGATGATGTAATATATTAAAATTGTCTTGACGTTACGCTAACCCGTCAAAGTGATTAATTACGAGTAACCAATAGAAACACTGGAAGGAAAAAAAAATGCCTTGTACATTGTTTGTCCTGGAACTTACAGCAGAGACGGGCAAAGCCACGTAAAGCAGGTATGATGCAATTAGAAGGAGAGCAAATAGAATAATTTAAGTCATATGTCTAGTTATTTTAAAAAATCTTCATCTTTAATGCCTATAAAGATAAGAAGGAACCGCAGTACAAATACGAAGAGAGAGGCACATGCATCAGTTGACCGGCTCCTCAGTTTTATCAAGCTGGCAGCCCATTCGGCAGATTCTAAACCAGATCTATTTCTTCTCCAGGAGGAAATATATACATATGTGATCAAGCTGAATAAAAAAAAAAGGGAAGCAACATCAAGTAGAATATGGTATTCCACACAAGAAAAGAACTAGATCATCTTCCATAACCAAGATGTCAAGATACATTTTGACAGTTTATGATCTCACATTCTCAAAGGGTCATCAAAGAAAATGGCTCTACCAGTTTGCACTGATGGTTCCAAGAAACGATTAAAGTGTTGACAAGAGGAAGGGCAAAGTTTCAGTGCCCTGAGCAGCACAGCTGGAGAGCGAGAGGCCTGATGATGAGCCGAGCTGAAAGCAGCCGAGAGCCGACTCTCACTCCGCTCTACGGTCACCAGCAGGGGCAGCGGCCCAGAGGAGGGTGGGAGAGTATCTTGGTTCAGATGTGTTAAATGGAGCAAAACGTGGAAACAGTCACAGCCCGTAATGCTTCATTTCTGCTGGTTTTGAACAGCATTTTTATTTATTTAGTTGAGTCACATCAGTTCTCACCAGTATTAATGGTACATCCATCAAAAGAAACAACCAGACGGATGTTTGTTGACTTACGCATGTTCAAGTGATTGATTTTGGCGAGTTTGCCTCATGAGAGTTAAAGGTTTGACTTGTCCTCTGTTCTCATCTGTCTCTTACATGTTTTAACAGATTTAATTTAGCCGCAATTAAATGTGTTCTTTCCGATCTCATACCACATCCTTCCACCAGTGTTCATGCTACTCCATCCTGCAGTTTTTACATAAACATGCTAAGTAACAGACACACAAAACAAGCGTAATACATTTTTGTATCACGAATGGCCATTGAAGACATTTAGGTTGAACATAAACGTCATGGTTTGATTTCTATACATTCTTATGCCTCTTCTTTAATCTTTTCTCCAGTACTGTAAAGGCACCTGTCTCACGATGGTGTAACCTGAAGAATATAATTATAATTCAAAAGATTTCCTCCAAGTCTTGCAGTCATAATCTCTTTCCATTTAAGGAACCTGATAAGTAGTGACATAATGGTCTTAGTAGGATTTTAAACTTTTTGGCTCTGGTTATTTTGGCTACAAAATCTTGGAGACAGTGTTGATTTAGGAGAACGTAAGACAGATGAGAAAAGCTATTTCCTTTTTTTCACTCTGCTTTTTATTTCAGGGTTCAGTGAAGTTCACTTTCTGGTAGGAGTGGAGCTCTGATCATGTATCATAATGCCATTTTGTCATATTTATGCTGCAGGACTAAATTTATCGTGTTCTCTGACTTACAGATGGTTACAAGCCACTTATTAAAACAAACCTCAATCAGAGAAGCTGACTGAAATAATGTTTTGATTAAATATGTAAGCATTCTTTATAAATTCATTGCATACATACTTACATAATACATACATACCTACATAATTTTTGGAATCTCGTCAGTCAAAGATTGTGTGTCTGTGCTTCAGTATGTGAATGTTCCTATTTTTTGCCTAAATTCGAGAATATTTCTTCTATTTGAAAATGCTGATCTAATTATATCTGTTCGATGTATACATTTGTGTTTTTCTGATGTGGCTCCTCTACTCACTGTGTTGTAGGAGAATGGTTCTGGGTGTCTCGACACTGTGGGAGCTGTTGTGGTGGACCTGGAAGGGAATGTAGCTGCAGCAGTGTCCAGTGGAGGCCTGGCAATGAAACACCCTGGCAGGGTCGGACAGGTAGTTGCACTCTCTTCTTATTATTTCCTCTGTCCATTGTGTTATCCACAACTTAATAAAATAGTAATTGTTTATGTAACTTGAGTAAAAAGACAGTTTGAGAGATGGATCCATGCCATTATTTCACTGTTATTTTTTTTTTGTATTTTAATGCTACCATGTATGATTTATTATTTCTTCTGTAAGCACAGAAAATGATTTGAATCTAAGATAGGCTGCTAATCGACAGGCTAATCCAAGTTGGAAAAACTCAGCAACAAAATACACCTAAGGGACCAAATGCTGCTGATTAAAGAAAACTGAGTGACCCCGTTCAAGCCTGGTATTACCATCAGTCCTGAGTGACAGGATCACAAATGATAAGCGCCAAGTACAAGTCTGAATGCACCCAAATGCGCTCTCAGTGCGGTCTGAGATCCGATCACTCAGACCACATTGGGTGGTGGTTTTTGCTGTGTGAATGCAACTGCAGGAAGTTATGAGGTTGAAATAACAACAGCTCAACAAAAAAAGAAACACTCAACATTAAGTGCTGAAAAGAATGAAAGAACCAGAGGATTCAATCACTTTTAACATTTAAAAAACCTGTCGCTCAGAGCAATCGAGTAGCTAGAATGGCATTTGCTTCTAGTGTTGGAACATCCTGTGGCACATCCCCAGCTCTTAGCGTAACTTTTTTGTTTCTTTTATTCATATATGATCGTCCCTCACTCCATTTATTATTTGAGTGTATACAATTCCAACAACTGTATAACTATGTTGTATCTCAAGCATCCTCCTCTATTTTTTTTTTCTCAGGCTGCTCATTACGGATGTGGCTGCTGGGCTGAAAATGCCTGTAATATGAACCCTTACTCCACAGCAGTGAGTACCTCAGGTAAACCACCGTGCGCTATCTACAACCTACTTAACAGTTGTGTGCATGTGACTTCTCCTCTGACTGGTAATGTTTACCACCAGCCCGCCTTTTGTTTTGGAGATTATAAGAATCAGAAACAGATATTTGACATGAGCCTCGTATTTAGCCTCGGTGAGTCAAGCTTCAGATAGCCTGACCTCCAACCATTCCTGCTATGTGATTCTCATCAGTCATTTCCTCAGATGATTGAGTCATTGTTTGCCGCTTCTTTGTTCATCAGCTGCATGCCAGGTGCATTGCAAAGCTTCTTTGGATTTGCAATGACATTTGACATGGGACACCTGCTGTGAATATGATGGACGGAGAACAGCCCGGAGTGCAGGAGAAAGATGGTAGATTCTGTTCTTTAAGTGCCGTCATCTAGATTCACAGCATCATTTTGCTGGGATCAGTAAGTCATAGGATACCTGGTAATCAGAAGTTGTTTATGTAAAACTAAATTGTCCTCTCTGAGTCATCAAAGTCACATCGCCTCATGGTATGTGTTTAACGTTTATGGTTCAAAATAAGAAATATTATCCTCTTATCATCAGTTTTTCTAAAGTTATATTCCAACAAATAATTAAGCTTGTGTTTCAAAATCACATGCAGAAGCGATCAAGTAATGATGCATCCATTTTTTTGTTTTGCGTGAGAGCAACTCTGTCAATAATTATACCAAAAGACAGTTTTCACTGAGCTTCTAAATTTAAGTTGAATTTTATAGAATTTTCTCACTCTACTTAGATCTACGCTCCACATAAATGTATTTCCTGTTTTCGGTAATGAATGCTATAACTAACTGTGTATGACATAAATATAGTTAGTACATAACTCAGATCATCAGCCATGCCTCTTGTTGCAGCCCCTCGCACCACCACCTCCCACCACCATCTCCCACCCCACACATATTGTGCCATGGCAGTGATTTATAGCCGTCACCTGTCACACACTGCTTGTGCTCCCTGTCTTTCTTTCTGCTGTGTCTGCAGTGTCAGGAGTGGTAGATAGTAGGTGGTTGCTATTGTTTGTCCTCATGCAGAGGTCAACAGGAACTACTCCAACTGGCAATCTTGCTGTGTTTCCATTGTGATTGGAAGCGGTCATCAAGGTTTAAGGAACTGGAAAGAGTCTTGGTCTTTGTACTTTCCAGAGATTGTTTTGCCTTGAAAGGAAAAATTCATTTTTTGTTTCCTCTGAATTTCTGTCATCAAAATCAAAGACAAGTGTAAGGATGATTGAGCTGAGGATTAAGAGAACGGGCAATGTGCTCGTACACTGACAACACTGTTCATTGCACCCAGAGTTCTGTGATTTTAAAAGCCTCATTATTTACAGCTCTGCATGTAGAGAAACACCAGCAGCCACCACCCTGCCTCCACTAATCCTTTGCTGACAGCACACACAGGATCAAGAAGTGTATCTCGTGAAGCACTGGCTCGTTGGTGTTTAAATTTGTACAGAGAGTCAAGTCGACAATGACCTCATTTCCTTTCAGGACAAACTTCCATTTCAAAGACAAGTTGCTTTTTTAAAATATATTTCTACAATGCAGACAACTATGCCTTAGTGTTTCCAAAAATGAAAATGCGTGTCTCCTTTAGCTGAGAGCAACGTCGCTAGTTGCGAGCTGCATTGTTTCGAATGTGAGTTAGAGAGCCTGTAGTATATCAGCCCACTTCCTTAAGATGTGAGGACATCTGCGACGAAGCTTCTGGGGAAAATTAGAAATCTTTTGAAGTGGATCAGACAGACTGAAGTTTGACTCGTACGTGCTTGGTCCACTATTGAAGCCAGCTTTTTTTGCACTGTAAGGCAGACCTGTTTCTATGATGAACAATCAAGATGCTGTCAGATTGAAATCCGGACATTTACCTAAAATATACCAGAGCAGCTGTAAGTAAGAATGCTAATGTCCGAGTCAGTTGACAAGTCTTGAAAATATCAGTGAGCCCATGTGAGAATACATTCACAGTGAGCGAGTGGGCCTGCTGTTGACATTTCCAACATGCAATGGATGCAAAACATCTCGGGATCAATCAGACGCAGATGAAGATATCAACTTCGAAAGACTAGAGCTGAGAGCTCTTAATGATACTAGTTGATGTCAGTGTTGCTGTAAACAAAAACATATGATTTCTGCAGCAGAATTTGTATGTTATATTTACGTCCCACTGCATGCTCCACCCAGGTGCCTTCACTCACATGAATATTCCAGACATTTTCCTCAGAAGTAGAAAGTTTTGTAAGTAGTGACTTTAATTCTGTACATTCATATCTACGACCACACAAGATGCCAGTTTGGTTTTAAAGGTAATCCACAGTTTAAAGGTGATAAGTAGTCTGTCCTGCTCTCAACTTATCTATAACATATTCATTTCACAGGCAGAATACAAACACCATGTTCATCAATTATTCTGGTCGCTGTGTATGTGTTCGCTCTGTTTGCACCTTCACCTCTTTCTGTCTTTCTATATTGTGGCTTTACCTTTGATGTTACTTTAAAAAAAAAAGAAAAAAAGATTGACTTATAGGAGCATTTTGTGTGTTCCAGTACAACACCTGTTTTTAATTTCCTAACATGAAAGCCATCCCGATCAAAAGAAACAGAAAAACATAAATTTTCATTCTGACATGAGGAGTATGATCTTCACCCTATATGTCCCTCTCTCTTCATCACCACTTTGCCCAGCCGCCCTCCCTCCCTCCCTCCCTCATTCTCGTCTCTTCTGTCATATGTGACTCATGTGGATCTTTGCGTTGAGTGCTTCATCTGGCCTTTTGTTTGCTGTGGCCATGAGAGAACAGCTCATGTACTTCACAATGTACTCTTGGTGTTTTTGGCCGCCACATATCCTATCTCCGTTGTTACATTTCTCCACTCTTACGTTGCTGCTTTAGTCTTGGCTTTTTGCTGTAATGTGATCATGCTGCTGTAATGTCCAGTTCCTCTGAGGGAGATTATGTTATGGCAAACTTAGCACAAAATTGCACAGTACCTGACCAATCCGACATTCTGCGCTCATTAAAAAAGAACTTCAAATTGCTCCGGGCATCTGGTCTCCGCAGTTACCGACCTGCGTTCAGTTTTGTTGTAGTTACCTGATATTTTATGGGGCCTTCGTTTGTGTTTACAGAAACAACAAGGCTATATTCTTAAGTCTTTATGGGTTTTCACAGGAACGTCTGCCAGATGTGATTTGTTTTCACTTTAAGATTTCTTGTCTTTTTCCCAGAGTATGGACTGAGTTTAACTGTCAGAGAGATCATATTGCAAATATACAGCATGCATTCAATACCTCTCTTGTCTTTAGCAACAATGGTTTTAATTTTAGTCCTTGAAGAAAAATATGCTGCTTGTTATCTAAGATGTAAAAAAGAACACCTGCTTTGTTTTGACTTAAAAGTGGTTGAGAGGGCAATGTGAGACATTTGTAAAAGGTGCCCGAGGTTTTATGGTTCCTGCTTAAACAAAGCGCTTCTCTCTTCTCCTTGGACTTTAATTGAAGCCTAGTTTAGCAAAGTCCGCTGCTACTTCTCTGATTTAATTTGAATTTAACTGGAGAATTAGGTTTTTGCATGAACGTAATGATCACGCATAGATAACTTGTATGTTTCAGTTTTGTTTCTCTGTGCTGCAGGAAAAGTTAAGTTAAAAATATTAGCATTTCATTTGCTATGCAGTCATTTATATGATACCACTGTTTTATGTCTTAACTCCCTGCTGTCAGTGTAAATTTGTTTTATTCTTGTTACTTTGCCCTACACATTTAAATAAATAAAATATCTTGGTGTTTGTTAATACAAGAAATCATGTTTCTCAAAGTACATATTATGGTAAGATGTAAAACTAAAACCTGTTACCATAAAATCGATTCATAAATGTGTCACGGTGATACATGTTGCAGGTATGCATGCACACTGCAGTGAACCAGTGAGAGTGTACAGAAGTGGAATTAATACTGGATGGTTGCTGTTTCAAATTCCCAGACCAGCTGGGAATCTGGGCAGGGAAACTGAAAGAGAAACTCAAACCCTCCTTCAGCAATTACTGTCAGTGTGCCCTTGAGCAAAGCAGCTGTACTTGGCAGCCTTCAGGGGCCTGTCGACTTTAAATGAAATATTAAATCTCAATTACACCGAGAAGAATAAGTGAAAAATGTCTGCAGTAGCACAAAATGTTTCTTATGAGCTGAAAAAGCAAAAATTATTTTCCATTAAAGAACTTCATAACAATTAAGCTATTGAAAAGATCAACTACAAATGATAATCTGGAGGTGCTTATATACACTCATCCATTAAAAAATAAATGTTAAACATCAATATGTGATTTTTTTTTTTTAATTTTGTGCTTCAGATTCTTGAGTGTAAATGGTTTGTACATGTGTTACAACTCTGTCCAAGTATATCACTGGAGAACTGGGGCAGTTCTGATTGAGACATTCATACAACTTTTATCTAGTAACTCTGCAAAGTTGATGTTACAGGGTCAGTTGTGTCTGTGTTTCTTTGGCCAGGTTGCGGAGAGCATCTGATTCGCACCATGCTGGCACGGGAATGCTCCGCTGCCATGCAGTCTGATGATGCCCACCAAGCGCTGCTGGAGGCTATGCAAAACAAGTTCATCAGTGAGTCACCTGCATGAAGCCTAATTCATACTATTCCTTCAAGAACGTGTTTGCACGAACAGTTAGGCTCAGAGAGAGTAAAACTAGACAAGCAGATGGTGAATAACATAAGGAACGAGCTAACAACTGGAAAACATTGGAAATACTAGAATCAGATGAGACGGCTTTTGATTTATGGATCTTCGTCTTTGTTTAAAAACAGCAACTTCAAAATGTTCCTCACATCATAGCTGACAGCCACAGATAATTTTGGAGGACATATTTGTTTTGCTGAAAGTTCATGTGAAGATGTCTTTTTTTTTTTCCTCAGAAGTGGTCAGTTTTAGAAAGTCTTGTTAACTATATTCGCTGTGCCAGTGAATGGACACTGGGATCGCTCAGAGAAGACAGCGGAGGAAGAAACATGTGGAAACATGTGGTGGTTTTTCTGCCTTCTCCTGGCCTCCTTTAGAAGTCAGTCCCAGTCTGGCTTTGTCATGGACATCTGTAGCACCAAGACATGTGGACAGACTGAATGAAGTCAAACTGAAGTTAATTCTTCTGTTGTTTTCTTTCAAGGTGCACATTAAGTTAAACAAGCTCCATAAATTCTGCTTTAGCAGAAGCAATGATGACAGCGTCTGTGATGTGGAGGCCTCTCACTCCGCTTCCAACACACATTTAAGTCAGGTTCTCTAAATGGAATTTCTTTAATGAAAGCACCTTTAGTAGGCTACTCTAAGACACACACACATACACCCTGCATACTCAAAAATAATTTTATCCCATTCATTTATGCTTCTATTGTTATTGGTAAACAATAATAGAACTGTTTACCACTTCACTAAGCACTTTATTAGGAACTCATGCAATTATCCAATCAGCCAATCAAGTGGCAGCAGTGCAATTAATTAAATCATACAGATACACGTCAGGAGCTTCAGTTAATGTTCTAATTAAAATATAATCCAAGCCTTTTTTTTAACCCCCTCCAAAAAAGCATCGCAGCAGTTTGAAACTCTGAGCTGACAGAAAGTACCTCAGTAACCACTCTTTACAACTGCGGTGAGCAGAAAAGCCTCTCAGAAACCGCATGTCAGTCTCAGTAGACAACCACTTCTGGTTTCACTCTTGTCAGACAAGAACAGAAGCTAAGTCACCAAAATGGAACAGGTGAAGACTGGAAGAAATGAAGACTGGTCTGGTGAATCTGGTTTTCTGCTCAGGCTCAATTTGGGGTCAGACCTTGGCAGAAAGATCATGATTTGACAGATCCAACCTGCCTCATGCCAACATTTCAGGCTGATGGTGGTGTGAGAAATGTTGTCTTGACACACTTTAATAATAACCAGGCATTGTGTGAAAGTCACAGCCTATCTTAGTATTGTTATTCACATGTGCATCAATATCTGGCCACAGTTTAGCATCTTCTAAAGGCTGCATTCAGTATAACGCACCATGTGACAAAGCAAATGACTCAAACTGCTTTTAGGAATATGAGTTCAGTGAACTACACTGGCCTCCTCAGTCAGAGGAGATAGCCAACATTAAAGTGTGATTTGTTTCCAACATCTTGTGGAATCCATTCAATTTTTAGAGTAAACAGAAGTTGTGCCCAATACGTGATGTAGATGAAGACGTGATGTGTGGTGTTCCTAATAAAGTGCTTGTTGTGTGTATGTTAGTTATTATGAAATGTTCAAGTGTTGAAGGAATACCAGGAATTTGTGTGGATAATTGTCTACACTTAAAAAAGTGTGTTTATAGAGTGAAGGTACCTTTACAACATGGAACCAGAATATGTCTGAAATACGACAAAGAAACAAATGGCATGCAGACGCAAACACATCAATTGTTTTTCTTTGTGAGGAGACATTTCATAACACGCTGTAGCTGTTTTTAGTTTGTTCTTTTCCAACCCAAGCCCTCTGTTGTTTTACTGCCCTCACTAGTTAGACAACCCAAGTGTTTTCATACACACAACACCTCATTCAACTTGCCGCTTCTGAGGTAAAGTTTGTTTTTCCAAGAATTCTTACAGTGTGGAATTCAAATTTACACCATGTGTCATTGACATATTTTGTCCTAAAACATGCCCATACAAATGGAATTAGATATGTCTATTAAACAGTCTGCTTAATAAAATAAATACATGGACACAATAATTGCTTTCAGTTGTTTCACTTGGGCAAAAAGGCAAACAGCTTGAATGGAAGGATTTTATTCCTCATAGATCATCTTTGCTGTTCTTGTCATGCTTTATCCTGGGATTAAAAATATGCAAGAGGTTTGATTGATTGTCCTTTTGACCATATTCATGCTATTTTTAGTCATCTCTTGAGTGTTGTTTTCTTTGTGCGTCCAGGCTCCCCCTTTCTGGCCAGTGAAGACCGTGTTTTGGGCGGAGTGATTGTCTTGCGGTGCTGCAGATGTGCGGAAACCCAGCCATCTCAAAATATTCAGGGTATACTGGGTAAGACATAAATCGTTTCAATCCTCATCACACTCGAAACATCCAGGCTACATCTGATTGTAGGCAAAACCAAAAAAAAATTGTTAATATTTAAAAATCCCTCCTCAGATATTCAGGAGGAGGGGGAGGAGGTGCTGTGGCTTTCCTTGCGGGTGGTCTGCGTTTTAACTCGCACAATCAGTCTCTGGTTTCACACCCTTCATCTCAGATTCAAACAGAGACCTCCCACTATGGAATCAACCACTAATCTTCAGACAAGCGGAGGCCGTCTGAACACTGCCCAGCTTGGCTGATTGTAGTGGCGGATCTGGTTTCTCTACCTGGAGCTTCTGAGAATGCCCCTTCCCTCCCCAAAGCCGCCATCATGGAATTTGACTTCTGTCTTGAGTTTAGCTCTTATGAAGTGCTGGTGGGTTTTTATCTTTTGACCTTTGTGTTAATTCAAACCTGATGTACGATATATCGAATCCTCGGTTTTATGGAAACAAGTGGTTGACTTAAAGGATGCTTCTCCAGTGTCAGAGGAGATGACATCTTTATTTCAAATGAAACATGATGGCAAATATGAAGTGAAGGGCTATATATTGTATACATTATGGCAGCTCGAGTACTAAAATGTCCCACAAACAGTCCCACTTACTCTGTGGTATACGGGTCCTGTTTGAATCTGTTCCACCAGGCTGTGGACGACCTCAGGTTACTGTGGCCTGCAGAGGGATCTGTGTTGATTTACAAGGATAAACATTCTGTCAACCACATCCTTTTGAGTTTCTTATCCAACTCACAAGTCCTACCTTCCCCTGTGGTTATGTCACAACTCAACTGCGAGGCAGAGTTCAGAGTTTACTGCAGTTTAGTAAATGGAGTCACCTGCCAAACTTTTTCCTCTGGCAGAAGGAAACTCTATTGATTTCAGATTCTGTCACGCTGAACTTCACTCTGTAACGAACCTTTTTATGTGTATATTTCCACAGTGGAGTTCCTATGGAGTCACACCACAGAGAGCATGTGTGTTGGCTACATGTCGGCCCAAGATGGCAAAGCTAAGGTGAGCTTCCCGACTAGCTTGAAGAGCAAAGTATATAAAAATTGTGACTAAAAGATTAGTTATTTGATTTGTGCATAGATTTTTGTATTTTCACAACATTAAAATTAGTGTTTGAAGTTGTTTCTAAGACAATTTTTTTCTTAATTGCTGAAATCCTTCATGCCATGGATAAGTAAAGTCGTCTGCAAGAAAGAAAAGAAACAACCCCTGCATGTGACAACTGGAGAGACATACGAAGTCAGAAGTTAGTCGAGGAAAAGACTTCCTCTGGCATTTGTCAGGCAGTGCATGTTCATTCTTATGAAAAGACATTGTGTGATTGGTCAGGGTCTGTGTGGCTTCTTAAGCAACAGGGCTTAATGCTCTGGTCTCCTGGCTCTAAGTGGAGTCACTGCTCAGCCTGATTTGTTTGGCTAATGTATCGCTGTCACTCTGTATGAAGAGAGGGCACTGTTGTTCAAGCCTGGTTCACATTTCAAAGTCTTTGCTGTCCGTCCAGCCTCCCCGTTCTCCTCACTCATTCTTTCCCTGCGTCTCTTGGTCTATCTCTCTCGTCACCCCCCCGCCCCACCTCTCTGCCCCTACCTGGTCCTAAAGTATCCTAAAGTTTACTGAAAGTCATGTACCACTGGGGATATCAGTATCAATCTGCATATTTGTCAGATGGGCTCTGTGTATTGGGGCTTTGTGGTGGAATGTGAGCGTGCAAGCTCTCCTTTCACGCCTGTGCCAGTGTAACGCAGAGCACAGTGAACTGTATACAGCACTTTTTTAATCACCAAACATTGTTGTTGTTCAAAGGTTTTATATAAT